AGAGCAAAATTTGATCAGAAGAGGTCTACGCTTTGTTGTGAACTTGACCACCTCTTTTTCTATATGTGAAAATGAATTAAAGTAAGGACAAAATTTATATAAGTTTGCAACCTTAAAATGTAGAATTAAAGATGCACCTCCAAAATCCATTGGAAAATATTGTTTTAATGTTGACAAACCCTCTAATTGATCATCTCGACATCGGGATGTATGAATATGAACAAAACAAATATTTTGAGTCTCAAGAAATAGTACATCTTGCAACACATTATCTAGACCGTCCATTTCCAAGATTTTCATATGTTTATAGATCTATTTGATTTTAACCATTTTTGGAGTTAACATTTTATAATTAGATATGAAAATAGATTTTGAGATATTGTTCATAATTTTTTACACCAAAAATTACATGTTATGATAAAATTTGGAGGTGCGCCTTAATTGGATTGTTTAAGGTTGCAACCTTATAGAAACCACACCCTAGAAATATTATGATGGGTGTAGTTTTGCATAAGATTACAATTTGAAACGATCAAATTAAGATGCACCTCTAAATTTTGTCATAAGATCGCAATTTTGGTGTCCAAATTTCTCAGGATGGGAGGAAATCTATTTTTATTTCTAGTAATCTATACTACATTATTAAGTCAAAGTAGGAAATCTATTTTTATTTCTATAATCCTATATAGATTGTAGGATAGTTACCTATCTCTAAGAGGAGAGAGACATAAAGTTGTGTGGTCCTATTTTAGGAAGAGAGACTAAGAGAGGTGGTATATATATAGGAAAATGATCATGTGAGCCAGTAGGCTCAACAAGTAAAAATGAGCCCAACGGCTCAGACTAAATCTGGACCGATCTGACGATCACTGATGGATGATAGTGTTTGAATTTTAATTTTTTTTCTACAAATCCAAATCACTTAAAATTTTATGCGATAGATAAAGGTACATAGTTATCTCTAGGGGAAGAGAAAAAAAACTTAAAATAATAGGAAGATTCCGAAAAAACTCTAAAAGTTATTTAAATCGTACTTATCTTTAAGAGGATTTTAGAAACTAAAATGTTTATCCTAAAAAAATTCTTTTTCCTAGCCTAACTAAGTCAGTGTGTTCATAATCCAAGAGATATAGAGAGAGAAAGGGTGAGGACATGACAGGGAGGTATGCAGAGAGAGAGGAAATAACAAGAGAGTAAGAAATAATTTCTTGGAGATGAGAGATATGCTATTGTCATTGGCCTTGCCCTATTTTCAATGAAAACCTACCTCGTTTTCATTGGCCTTCATCCTTACCGTGGAGTGCATACGCGCACATATTCATACTATTACCTACCTACGAATTTTGGATGTCTTTAATCTACACTTTTACTCTATTAATTACTGCCGCTATTTCATATCTAAAATTTTTACATAAAAAACCACAGTCCATATTTTTATATCTAAAATTTTTGATGTATTTTTTTCTCTATCTACCGGTTCGTCTTCTTGCAATCAAGTGTGTCTCTATCATCTTCTCATTATATGTTACTTTTCTATTGTGTCTCTTTTATGTTTTTTTTTCTTATACTATTACGTTATTGTTTCATTTATGAATATTTTTTGTTATTTATTTAAAGTTTATAAAAAAAATATATTGTACATTGACAATTTTTATTGTTTCATGGTTTCATGTAGATAACATTAACCGTGATATTTTTTACCTAATTTACTAGGAGATAGAAATAGTGATGGATATTTCAAGTTATAAACATTATATGACTAGAGTCATGATATTGGATTTTTTTTTTGCTAATATATTTTTTGATATTTTTTTATCTCGACTTTCATTGCGCAATCCCTTGGGAATCCGGGGATGCATAGGAGGGGTGATGTGTGATGCATTTGATGAGGTGATTTTTACCTTTGCAAGGCCTGTTGGTATAGCAACTGCAAATCATGCAGAGCTTCTAGCTGCTCTTGAAGGGTTGAAGATCTTTACAGCTAGAAACATTGGCAATGCATGTATGATCAAGGGTGATTCTATGAATGTCATTCAATGGTGCAGTAGGGAGTGTCGGGTTCCGTAAGAGTTAAGGTCGTGTTGGCTTCATATTATGGATTTAGTGGAACCATTATCTATCACCTTTCTTCATGTTTATAGGAAAGTGAATTCTTTAGCAGACTGTCTAGCTAAAAGAGGAGCATCTCCAACTTCTCTTTCTATTTCCTCTTATGTATCTCATTTTCGTAAGGATTCATTAATAAAGTTCATAAGTTTTGTCAAATAACAATAATAATAATAAACTTTAAACTCTAAAAATAGTTCACATTGATCTATAAATACATAAAGATCTTGAAAATAGACTATCCATATAATATATTGCTAGATGTACTTTTTTTAGGACTTGAAATCTCTTTTTTTCTTCATATCTATACATCTCAATGTTGAGATGATCAATTAGATGTTTTTCAAAAATCAAAACAACCTTTTCGAATGATTTTAGAGGTGTACCTTATCTCTATATTTTAAAGTGTCAACTTCATATAAAAATTTTCCTATAATGATACATAGCAATCCAAAGAAAAATAAAAAGAAAACAGAAAACACTATTATATGTAAAAGACAATGTGAGAAGAGAAACTATAGGGCAGATTAAATCCATAAACACTAAAAGAAAAAAAATGTATATCTTTTTCTTTTCTTTTTTGATATGTTAATATTGGGAATGGAGGGCAGGAACATATGTTGAAGCATCCGCCCCCCTAACCACATGTGCCCCACCCCTATTCCCAAAAACTCACATATCTTCCCAAGCCTTTTATTTATTTGGGTTTAAAGTTCTCTTTTTTTCTTCCTATCCCTCCAGAAAAATCTTAGAAACAAACTCTCTACAAGAATTTTGTATAGGTGCTTGTTTTTCTTTTGTGTTTTCTCTTTCAAAAACTCATTCTCCACCATAAATCAAGCAATTTTATACCGGACAAGCTTTCTATGCTTCTCCTACAACATAAAACTTATATACTTCCCCTTATCCATCCGTCCATTCTGAATGAAGGGCTATGATTGCTCCAATCGCAATGTCACATCTCTACACTATTTTATTTTTAATATTTTTTCTACAAACTATTTTAACACCACAATTTGTACGTTCAATAGCGAAAAATATAAAACAAATATTTCTAATAAAATAAACTGACCAAAATACCCTTGAAAGTTTCAAGGGGTATTTTGGTCATTATATTTTATCGAACAATTATTTTTAATATTTTTTTATAGCTGTGACCCAATGAGAAAGTGACACATACCAAATTTCATATTCATACAATTGTATAAAAAAAATTAAAAATAAAATACTTTCAAATGTCAAATTTATGATCAAACGATAAATGGCTCTCTTGATCAAAATTGGACGGCTGGAGGATAGGAGAAGCATAGATCTTCTATGCTGTAGGGAAAGTATAGAAACTTTTCCCTTTTTATACTGTGGGTCTCCCATTTTTTCAAACTATTTATTATTTTCTACACCCTAAAAAGCCATAAGTCTCATGTGATGTAATAAAAGATTCTCACGCCTAGGTGTTCTTGTATTAGATCTTTAACACAAAAGTACACCTAGATACTTTCCAAAATCAAATAAATAAAAAATCCTTGTATGAAATCAACAATCCTTGTGTGAAATCAACGTGAGACTGAACCCCACACCTACATACTTTCCAAAATCAAATAAATGAAAAATCCTTGCATGAAATCAACGTGAGACTGAACCCCACATCAGCATATTCTTTGTAAAGTATAATTTTATAAATTGTAATAAAGCAATGGCCCAAGGAATACTGTGTGCGCTGAAAGAAATACATCTTCAATGCCCACGCTCTCTCTCTCTCTCTCTTATGAGAGCATATGAAAATTCAATCAACTCCAACGGTACTCCCATCTTATCTGTCACGAGCCATAGAGGTACATGCAAAAGGTACATGGTGCCACATCATGAACTACTTAAAATATCACATCTAAAGTCGTATTTTTTACCAAAGTCTAGAGTTAGGGAAAAAATTTATATAAGTTATAAAGCTTACCTCAAAACCCATAGAAAATGTTGCCCTGAAGTTGAAAACCCCTCGAACTCGAAATGTACAGATATAAGGGGAAAAAAAAAAAAAACTCAAATCATAAAATAGTGTGCATCTAATAATGCCTTATATGGGCAGTTCATTTTCAAAACTTTAATTGTTTATAAATTTGCTCGAACTACATTTTTTTTTTTTTAGCTTTAAATTTCATAATTCAAGATAACAACAAATTTTTATGCCATGGCATGGCTTCCAGCACTAAAACGGTATCTATCAACATTGTTTTGAAGTGCACCTTAATTTTTTATTGTTTAAGGCCACAAATCTTACCTTTAAATAAATAACTGAAATTGAACAAAAACTATCCAATTATAGACTGTTTAAGAACTCAAAATCCTAATTTTCTGAACACCAGTGAGTTTGAAGTGGATTCAAAAGTTTGAAATTGGAATTTCTTAGAAGTACTGTAACGGAGGAGTGAGCACAATGTGTACAACAGGAACAAGCTACTTTTGCCTTCATCAAATATGAAAAGTTTTCAGTTCCAAATTACATGTTAATGGATTGGAATTCCTGAAGTTATGTTACAGCTCTACCACCATGACCAATATGCCAAAATCAATTTCACCCTTGTAGCCACCCTCAAGATCAATTTCTCTAAAAAGAACTATTTTTTAGCTCAAGAAATCTCTCTTCAAAAAGTAAGCTCCCATTTGAGAGACATAGATCTAGTATTTTAAGAACTCATTTAAGCTGTTGCCATGGTAGATTAATATATATAAATTAAAGATCAACCAAAAACTTTCAGATCAAAGAAATCAAATTCCCCTAAGTTGTTCGGGCACCATGGTGGACTGCCAGACCACCTAACGCATGCCCCTAGTATATGCATACAACATACCCACCCCTGTCCCATAACCTTCTTTGTAAGAAGATATGCCTCGTAATAAAAAGGCAAAAACAAAACCATCTCATACTTTATACTGCATTAAGCTCTTCGCCTAAAAGTAGACATAATAAGGTTATGGCTAACCTTCGAAGCTGTTTTATTAGTTCTCATCAACTTCTGAACACACAACACTTCACCATGCAACAAGCAAACACACATGTACATGCATACATTAGTCAAAAAGTGACCTTTATACCAAGCAATGCCATCAAATGAGAAATGAACTCAGGGTGCCCAGGCCAAGCTGCCCCAGTCACTAGATTACCATCAGTGAAGCATCGATCTATTGGCTCGGGTTCCATCCACTCACCGCCTCCGAGCACCACATTAAGCTTCACTGCAGGGTATGCGGTACACTTCTTTCCCTGGAAGTAGGATATAAGTACAATAAGATAATGATGTGGTCTTTATTATGATGATGGTATTGTTGGTGGTACTAGTGGTGAATGGTGATTGTCGTGATGCTGGCGGCAATGATAATGATGACGTTTTGTCCAAGGAGAGCTTTCATGCATCTTGAGACAAAATTGGCATGTCTGGAGACATCCAGCCATCTGTTCTTTGATTGGACTACTGAGAGAGAGCAGACAAATATGTCATGCATCAATTAGTATGCCAGACTCAACTAGAGCTAGCATATGACATTGTTTTTGACTCAATCCCAACTATCAAACCAAGATCAGACAACTATGGGTCTCCATAGATATATCAACTATATCTGTGCACAGATCCAAAGGTTTCCTTTTTGTTTATGTTAAATGATGGCGGTGGTAGCGGTGGTATTGGTGGTGGTGGTGGTGGTGGTGATAGTATTATGTGAAGTATGGTGCCAGCTTGGATTTTGTTAAAAATCAAAATATTTGTTAGGATTTGGCAGATGCCATTTATGAATTCTCAACCTTGGAAGTTCAAGTGAGATATGTTCTATGTTGATGCCAGGCTAACAAAGAATTTGAGTATCATTTTATCTAAGAACTAAGCTTTCAGCTCTGGCTGAATTATCCACCAAAAGTTGCAATGCTACTATCCTTGGGCCCTTTTATTTTTTATAGTTTCATTGCTGGTCCAAGCTCTGAAATTGTTGTTCCTCAGTTTTCACCTAGGCAGAAGCACTTGAGCTTCTTAGTGTTTCAAGCCCAGTTTAAACCTCATGCGGAAGGGCTATCCGTATAAAAGAAAATTGGAAAAAGCAAGACCAGCCCCACCAGTCAAGATCCATTAGCATTACATTCTTCAAGGAAAGCACTCTAGAACACAACCACTTACAGGTAATAGTAAACTATTGATTGAAAGTATATCATAATCCAGTACAATATGTTATGGTGCCCCCAAGGCTACTCAATCATCTGTCCCCACCAACAATTGGCTGAAGATTACCCATCGTGGGTCCAGCACAGATGTTCATAGAGGCAAGTGGACCTCTCAACCATCTATTAATAGGAACGGACAGTGGATATAGCATGGATCACCATATACAACAGTTCGTTGGAATATGCTATTCACGTCACAAAAATAATTTGACAGAATTATACCTTGAGCACACCAGCAGCTGCTAGTATCTGTTGGCCATGGCATATTGAAGCGACTGGCTTCTTGTCCTTCATAAACTGATTCACCAAACCCAATATGGCATCATGAAGAGCAAGATATTCAGGTGCGCGTCCTCCCGGTATAACAAGGCCATGATAACTTGAATAGGAAGCCAATGCATCTTCAAAGCTTGCATTGAGAGTGAATTGATGGCCAGGTTTCTCACTGTAAGTTTGCTGACCTTCGAAATCATGGATGGCAGTTGGGCAAGTCTCGCCAGGTTTTTTGGATGGACAGATTGCATCAACCTTGCAACCAAGAGCTTCGAGAGATTGGAATGGCACTATCACCTCATAGTCTTCCATGTAGTCCTGTCCAAGGAAATTGGAGTTCGCCCCAAATATGAAAGAGAGAGAGAGAGAGAGAGAGAGAGAGAGAGAGAGAGAAAAGTAGGTTTAGCATAGATGTAAGGCTGTTAATCAAATCACAAATAAGCTACTAATCACATTTGTCTTACAACATCAACATTTAAACAAGAATAAAAAATAAGAAAAACATCGAATTAGCAGCTCTTGTCGTGAATGAGCAACCTTTTCAACTCAATCCAATGACATGCATTTTGCAAGTTAAAAAAAAAGTCAGAAGGAACGCAGAAGGAATAGTATGACAAAGCAGAAGACTAGTATAAATTTAAAAAAGAAAAGAAAAATGGTCCTTTTAGTATTTTCGGAATAACTAGAAGGTTAATCATTATGAAAAACTTGGGTCATCATCATCAAATTCAGGAGCATGTTGGTCCTCGGTCCTTCCTGAAAGATCGAGTATCTATTTGTTTATTAGGGGATTTGCAACTTCTTCTTCTTCTTTTTTCTTTTTTTTTTTTGAGGGAACATTTTGACTGGGAATTTCAAGCTTCTATGTGGCTCATTTATGCAATCAGAGGAATAAGTTGAGTCATTCTAGACAAAATGAAATAAGTAAATAATGTTGGATAGTAGCCTTTTCGAAACAGGAATGCATCTTAAGTAGGGTAAATATTACTGAGGGAGAAACTCTACACTTCCATGTCTAGACAACCAAAGAACACTGGTTGTAATGTGTGTACATGTGCATGCATGCACACATCCATTGGTTTTTTTCTGTTGTGGGGTTAGATGGATGCAATATGAGTGGATGGATAAATAGATAAGAGGTAATGGATACATGGACGGATGGATAGAATGTTAAATACCCACATGTAAGAATGCATGAAAAAACAAAATCGTGCATGCCAATGAACGTATCCGTGGTTAGTTTAAGCAATATAAGAAATATGGAACTGCTCGCATCCTCACCACTCTGAATTATGATTTCTCACTATGATGAACGTGAAAATACACTGCTAACTAGAAGACTATTCTTCATCTGTAGCTCATCTATTCATCACCCTTAAATAAGTTCCAGACCTTAATTGTTATTCATGTATCACATACACATGTCTTGATAAGAACATATGCATGTGAACCCCCCCCCCCCCACCTCTCTCTCTTTCTCACACACACATACACGCGCACACACACGCATGCACACACACACACAAACACACAACATAATCAATACATACCCCACAGAGGAACAAAATATTTTTGTCTGAACCAGTTATGGTTCCCCCAAGTGCCTGCACAAAGAGCCGGATGAACTCAGGATGGCCCATATAAGTAGCCCCTGTTATCAAATTACCATCAATAACACAAGCTGCCATTGATTCAGGTTCCACCCATTGTGCACCAGCAGCCACAGCTACTGGCTTCACTGCAGGATAAGCAGTGCATTTTTTTCCCCTCAACACATCAGCAGCTGCCAAAATCAACTGGCCATGGCATATAGAGGCTATTGGCTTTCCTGATTCTGAAAATTTACAAACCAATTTAAGCACTGATTCGTTCATTGAAAGATACTCAGGTGCACGCCCACCAGGAATTACTAGCCCATCATACTTGCTTGCTTCAATGTCGTCAAAAGTGGCATTCAGGGTAAAATTGTGGCCCCGAGACTCACGATATGTCTGCAAACATGGCGATGTTAGGGTATGATTAATTTCTGAGAAAGTACATTTTTGGGTTGCTATCATTAGGTAAGATGATGAACAGTGATGAAGAGATAGTGGAACCACCAGAATTCCACATGAACCCATTGGTGGGTCCCTCTCTCACACCATCACAGTCCAACATTTCATTTCAGAGTGAAGAATTCATAAAAGAAGCAATGGATGTATGGGATATTGATCATGCAGCTCTTATCAAGGACATAAAACCTAAGCAGTATGATAAAAAATATTGCATCCCGTAAACATTTGCATTGATAAAAGACTCTTAGTTGTATTGAGCAGCATAGTCCAATCTCATGGAAGTCATCATAGTAACCATATTGCCAGCTTACACAGTCCCAATAAAATAAGAAAAAATAGAAATTTAGACAATATGTGATCAGCTAGCTGCAAAAAGAGAGTGATCTGAGACAAGGATATCTGCAAGAAGAAAGTGATGTAAGAATTAACTTTCAAAAAAAAAAGATGATAAAGAAAAAACACCACATATCCATTTCTGTAATGAAAACCCCATATATCCTTTGAAGAAATGGCTTCTCTTATTCTCAAACTTGTTAGGCTTCAATTTCAAATTTGATTTGTGTCAGTTGCCAATTTCCACACTTATCAAGTTTCAAATGTACTGAAGGTCCAACAATTGAGTAGCTAAATATTTTGAGATTTAAGCTCCTTATCAGGAGAAAAACAGCATGGATGAGTGGCAAGACAAGACAGGATAGAATTCGAAATGAATCTATTCGAGAGAATTTAGGCATGACACCCATAGGCGATAAAATGAGATAGAGTAGACTTAGGTGGGCTGGCCATATATGGCGCCGACCAAGTAAGCACCTGTTAGGAGGTGCGAGTTAATTCAAGTAGAAGGATTGAAAAGGGCAAGGGGTAGAGCCTGAAAGACAAAGTTGGAAATAGTTCAAAAAGATATGAGGACTTATGACCTCACTGAGGATATGACCTTTAATAGAACAGAATGGATAACCGCGATTCATGTAGCCGACCCAATTAATGGGGAAAAAGGCTAAAATGATGATAATGATCAGGCGAAAAACACCGTAAATCTTTTATATAATGAAAACCCCAAAGATTAGGCCTTTCATTTCTCAGGACAGTCCAGCTCCAATTTTAGCTTTATTTAGCTCAATCGACAATTTCCACTGTTATCCGATTTCCAATACACATTGTTCGCTAATTTGCAGTACAAAGAACCAGATGTTTTACGAATAACTTTGAGTTGATCCCGACTGACTGATTTGTTACATTCACTGGAAGAGATGAAAGCAGACAAAGGAGGAAGCCGTCTTGTTTAATGATGCCAATGAGGAGGTTTGAGAAAATCATTGACATAGTAGGGAGTTGGCTGGACCAATTAACTAACTAAATTCTATGACTAGAGGAGTTTCTGTTTTGAATTTCTTCTTTCTTCTTGGGGTAGGGAGGGGAAGAGACAAGTCCGAAGTCAGGCCCCTAACGCTGCAACCCTAGCCACTAAGGAAAGAGGCCAAGGTTCAATCTGAAGAAGATAGTGGTCAAGAAATCCACTACCACCCACAAAAGAAGTCCTCAGCTTTAGTCATATTAAAAACTTATTTGCAGAATGAGACCCGATTAGAAATAATCCTGCACATTAAATCCGATAGCCTTATTAAAATTGTCACTTGAAATATAAACCAAATCTCATTTCACATCATCATCAGGCTTTGAGTTAGCAAGTCCTTAATGGATTTGTATAATCATAAACTATTTCCAGTACTGTTTATTTTATATAACCTCTCTAAAGTGACATGGGTTTTCTCTATCCACCTCACCTTTCAGTTTTTTTCACTAATTCAAATAAAAAACTGCAATATCAGGAAAACAAATGATCAGAATTAATCAAACCCCTGTTGATATATTATTTATTAATTGTTTTTTGGTTAGCCCAACTCAAACATCAGCGGGCATTTTATATACTTCTGATTTCTGAATATCCTTTTTTCTGGGGTAATAACTTCCCAGTATTTCGAACATACATCTAAAGATGCATTTTGCGATGACTTCCAAAAGGGAAATTTATCAAAATACACCTAACTTATCAATCATTAAACATTCTACCCTTTTAAACCTACTTCACCTCATGAGCATGTGTATTTTGATGGAACTCTTAAAATTAAATCAATTTATATGGGTAAAACGTTAAATGGTCCATCTTTAGCTGCATCTTGATTTCGGAAACATATTCAACCACCACTTCGCAACATCATTTTTCGCAACTAAACTCAATTGTTACACACAATAGACCAAGAAAATTTCGAGCGTAATAGAGACTGAAATTGCTGGTTAAGTATAAAAAATTTACTACTAGACTACCAGTTAATATAAGATACATGGAAGCTAATTTTCATAAAAATAATTATCAAATAAAAAATTACTTTAAAAAATAATAACCCACTAACCTGTTCATGGGGAAGACGCTCATGAACTGCAGTGGTGCATGCCTCACCTGCTTTCTTTCCAGGGCAAACAGAGTCCACAGAAACCCCAAAGGCCTGCAAGGCCTGAAAGGGAACCATAACCTGAAAAACCCCATCAAAATTACACAATAATCCATCGAAAATCAGGCCTCTAAATCCATTAAATTGCAATAAATACTTCAAATAACAGACCCCAGATGAACAAGTAGCGAAAAATATCCCATCCAAAGGGTCAATACTCCCACCAAATGAACACTCATAAGAGAGTTAAGTATGATTAGTGCACTAATAATCGTAAAAACAAATGTAATTTTCATGGGTAATCAACCTCGTAATCTTCCATGAAATCTCCACATAGTATCAGCACTTGCCTCCCCATCCTCACTCTGGTGTGTGGAAGCTTCATGAGATGTGAATTTGTAGCATTCTGTTAACAAAGTGCCCCTTCTTGTGGCTATGATATCCAAACTGCCCTTAGTGCTTTTAATTTAAAATTGTAGGATTCCCGCAAAATTTGGCATATGATTCCCTTTTATGATCGCTTGCTTAATTACTTAGGGGTACCTCATGAAACAAGTTTGTACAAGGTGTAAGTCCTACAAATAGTTTATTTAGTAATACAGTATAACAAATAGTTTATTTAGTAACACATTATAACAAATAATTTATTTAGTAACACATTATAGATCGTCGATTCTCAAAATTTAAAAGTGGCTATAGATATAAGTTTATCTTCACTATTTTTTAATCTTTAAATTTTATAATTAAATGTCAAAAAAGATTCATTGGCCCCTATAAAGTTTTTGACATGTTTCAAGAGTTTGAAGAGGCTTGGTACTTTGTTTAAGGTGGACGCTATATATAAATTATTTGTCAAAAAGATGCTATATATAAATTGAATCCTTAACACTATGAGATGCATACAGATATGTCATTCATCCTTGGTACAAGAAATCAATTTTCGTCATTAGATGTAAAATTGAGTGGCTGGAGGAATCATTTCTAACGAGTTCAAGTCCAAAACTTTTGAATTCAATGACACATTTTAGGTCATCAGATTTCATATTTCACATCACTATAATGATTATGACTCCCTGTACCAAAGATTAATAGTATCATTTAATACAATTAGCTTTTACTTGCAATTTCTACATGATTGATTAGGCTCAAATCTAGCTAGAAATGTTGTTCAAACATATGGAAAATTCTAAAAATTAATGATTTTGATATAGATAATTATGGATATGAAAGAATTCACTGATGTAGCCTTAGTCATTTCTAGATGCCCTAACAAGGATGCCAACTATGTCCAAGTGCAATGTAAATATATGCAAACAAAAAGACACATGGCTGATCGATGCAAGAAGCAATTTTTTTGCATTTACTGTGAGAAGCTAGGGCATATAATTAATGATTGTCGAAAATTCCTTTAGGAACGTGTGAAGCCTTTTGTACCTAGTTAGACTCAATGGGTTGCGGTCGCCTATATTCCTAGTCCCACCAGCATGGATGATGCAAGTTCACCTCACTCCCATTCTGCCTGCACATTTGTACCCCTGTATCCATGTCAAATCTTCACTCCATTAACTCAACTACACTCCAACAACTTGCTCAGGTTTTAGCTGCCATGGAATTTTCAGGTAACTCAATTTTTTTTATGAAATAATTGGATCATAGACTCAGGAACATTAAATAATTTGATAGGATAACTCTCTCGTATATCTTCTATAAAACCGCATTATGTAAATATAACTTATTTTACTGCAAATGGGTCACCTCTTCATGTTACCTTGAACATTAAGTTTAATCAATGACATAATTATACAGACAAGACTAATGTCTCCTTACCACTGGAAATGTCCATCATGTTCCCAACCTTCCACTTAATTTAATATATGTTGGCTCGTTAGTTGATAATATGTCTCTTGTTTTTTTTCTGATAAAGGGTGTGTGGTGCAAGATCAATCAACCGAGAAAGTGATTGGGAGAGGCAGTAAGAAAGGTCGATTTTTCACAATTAGTTTCAGTGAAGCTCCTTCTCACTTTTTACAAGCTCAGCCAGTTTGTCATACTTCCGCTTCTCCTCGTGAAATAAATTAATCAAATTCTCTTTGGTATGTTTGGCATTATAGGTTAGGACATCCACACTCTAAAAAAATGCTCTCTTTGAAACTCTAGACTTTTACCTGTTATCTTCTCTCATATCAAATTTAATAAGAATATTGTTTATGAGAGTTGCAAGTTGGCAAAACACTTGACTCAACCTTTTCATCAGAACAATAATAAAAGTATCCATCATTTTTCTTTAGTGCACTCTGATGTTTGGGGACCCTACTCCTATTCTTTCCATTGGTGTATTTTCTTATTATACAATATTTATACCATATTCTTATAACACAATCTTGTATTGTAGGGAGTCATCTCTTCGACACATGTACATAACACATTTTCAGCTGATCACCACGATCGGTCCTTCCAACACAATCTTGTATTGTAGGGAGTCTTTTCTTCGACACATGTATATAACACATACCCTCATCCAGATGGCTGCTTCTCAGATGACCATCTAGTGTACACGTCGTGTGATGAAAATGATGAGGATTTATCCCTTGTCCTCTCTGGCCTAACCATCATACACAGGGGTCATATCCAGTCCCTTGGCCAACTACCAAGTACACAACTCCGACCTCATCAAGGGATAACACCACATCGGAACCCTTATAAGTTGTACAAATGCCTAGGGTTATGAGTTTCAAACATCATCTTGAGCCATAACCAGTCAAAGCTCGGGTGAGTCAGAAATAGTATAATCTAAATCCTCCTCATGATCCACTAAAAGAAAAACAATTGACCCAATCTATTGAACTTCCTCTATACAGCTTGTCATTGAGAGTAAATTTACACCTTCCCTTGGTTTAAGCTTAGGCGTAATTTTCTCTTTCATGGGAGCCAACACAATTTTATTATTATCTCTCCAAAAAGTATATTTGATCCTCATGTATGGCTATATGGCCATATTGCCATGGTCTACCTAATAATAGATGACAAGCATCCATAGCAACTAGATCACACCACACATAATCAAAATACTTCTTTTTAAAACAAAAAGAAACATGGCATCCACTAGATAGTCGTACCTCTTTGTCCTTCTTGAACTAAGGGAGCTTGTATGATTGGAGATGATTTTCGGTCCTAAGCTTGAGCTATGTGACCTCTTCTTGTGAGATCATTTTCTTGTAACTCCCACTGTCAATAATGAGTATGCAAACCTTATCTCCAATAGTTCAGGTGTTATAAAAAAATATTGGTCCTCAACCAGTCCTCTTGGGTTACTTGCTTGGGTGTAAATTAATTAATTTGAATAACCAGGGACTCTCTAACATTTCTTGAGACAAGATCACCCTCATCTGGATTCTCATCATAAACTAGATGATCGTCATACCAATCAACATCACCTAGGTTCTCTTCCCCAATCATGAGTTGCTTGCCTATGTCAAGATGACGATTCACCTTCTTATAATCTCTGCCCTTGTGACCCACCCCCTACACTTGAAACAATGGAGAGTTGAGCTACTGTCATGAACTCTAGCACCTAGACTAACATTATTTGGGTAACTACTAGGCACTACAATGTCAACGACTCTAGCACCTAGACTAACATTATTTGGGTAACTAATAGGCACTACAATGTCAACTAATAGAAACCTAGAGTTTGGAACCACATCAGAACCGCAAGTTGATTTATACTTTTTGAAGCCTCTCTTTTTTTTTGAACTATTGCTTTAAAGTTTTGGATCGAAGAGAATATGTTCCTAGGACTTGATCTTGATTATGGAGAGTTTTTTAGAGGATTTAGGCTTAAGAGCTTTGTCCTAAGGCTTTCTTGGCATTTCCCTATTTTTCTAGAGGTTTTCCATAATTTTCTAGGTTTTTTTATTTTTCTTATTTTACTAGGTATTTTAGACGAATTTGTTAATTTTCTAGGCTTCCTAGGATTTTTCCTAATTTTTTAAAGATTTTTCCTAATTTTCTAGAGGGTTTTTCCTAATTATCTAGAAAGGATTATCTAGGGATTTTTCATTGTTTTTCTTGGGATTTTAGAGCGGGTATATATAGGTTTTTGTTAGAGGTAGGGTTGAAATTTGTTGATCGAATCTCCTAGTTGTAGTTTGATTAGGATTACAACATTTTTCTGATTTTTTGTTGTTCCAATTTAAAACTGCATCAAAAATCCTAATTTAAATGGGAATTGGACCCACTTTGCCCATCGGATCACGTGAGATGCGGCTCAAGCACAGGGGTATTTTTGATCTATAAATTTTCGAGGCTTGTAACTTTTGATCCTTAAGTCCGTTTCAGTGATTCTTGGACTGTTGAAACGCTCCCGAGGTCTACTACAGCTTGGGATAGGTTTTGAAAGTTTTTCACCAAACTAAACTGGGTCTAGGTGTACTAGAGTTCACTAGGATTTATGTAGTCCTTAGGACTCAAAATCAAAGTTTCTAGAAATTCCCTTAGCCAGAATTTCAAGGGGAGCTTTTTACACTCATATCTTTATATTTGACAATGTGTTCTATAATATCAGTCCAATCAATAAATTCTTCCTCCTATAATCCTCGTGTGAACCCCAGCAGATCTACATTAATACCCAAATCCCAAGATCTGCTTTCCCAAACATAAAGCTCTCGTCGCAGGGCGTGTGCACAGAACGGGCTCTTGAATACAACATCTGACTCAATATTGTCATTATAGTGTGTCGGAGCTAGGTTTTGCGCTAAAAGCTCGGTCAACTTCTCAACTTGTCTTTTCAAGTCTTCCATCTTAATGTCTTGAAGGTCTCATTCTTGTTGGATAGACTTATTCTTGGTACATGTCCGTTGAATACGTCGAGGAGCTCTGATACCTTGTCAATAAACACCACGATCTATCAAGAATTGACGCTCTGATACCACCCGAGGCAGTTGAAAATTTATCAACAACTAACAATTGACAAATACATCCATGTTTTTATAGAGGGAAACAAAAATTGAGAAGAAAGTCCCAAAACTAGGAAACAAGAGTAGTTATGCCACACACCACGAGAACAAAGAGAAAAAAGAAAAAAAAAACCACGTAAAGGCTCTCTCTCTCTCTCTCTCTCTCTCCACATTACGTGTTTTCATATCAGTCTACATTCACTCTGAAAAAAAATCATTACAATTGGCATCCTCCTTATACACTTATTCCTTAGAAAACTATCCTTGCCACGTCCCCAAAAATGATATGCCTTATTCTATATAAGAGCAACCTACCTAAAACTAATGCCAACAAAAAAAAGCGTGCTTATCTTTTTAATTAGTGATTCAAAAGTCGACGAGTCGAACCGAAACCAATTCGATTTGACTAGGGAACTGGTCCGATTCGACTCGAGAACCGGTGGAACCGGCCGGTTCCAG